CAGACAGGGCCAGGCCTGTTGCAGCCGAGGCCCTTGCAGCCAGCAGCGCTGCACAGCTTAAACAGGGTTTAAGGCTTAGGGTTTAGGGTTGGGATATACGGTTCAGGGTTTAGGGCGCTGGAGCTTGGGGTTAAAGGTGCGTAGAACACCGGGTTCAGGACTTTGGGAGTGTAAGGTGTGCAGCAAGTAACTTCAAGGCCTCCAGAAACCCTACACCCTCGAGGCTCGCAATCCCTGAACCCTACAGAGGCCTTCGTGATCCGAAGAGGGTTGTAGGGTATATTGTACTGCAATGATAGGGTATATTGTACTACAATTGTGGTGTATATTGCACTACAATTACAAGTAGGGTATGTTGTAATTACTATAGTTACAACACGGAAGCCCAGAATAGTATTGGTAGTTGTTTGGCTACCTCCCCCAAGGCCCTCCGTATGTAGACTTGGGGCGAAAGAAGTGTCCCGCTCTGCTTCACTGCTGGCCACGCTTGACAAATTCCGGCCGGGGACGACATGGATCCTGGGACGTAGGCAGGCTTTGAGCATGAGGGCATTTGGGGGGTTTCGGGTAATCTGGGAGCTTGACACTTTGAAGAGGGTTCAGCGGAAAGTTCTGCCATAAGCATCGGAGGAGATGTGAGGGACTGGAGTTATTACTGAATATGCAGACCTCCGTATGGCGGGAGTAATGAAAACCTTTTGGCCAAGCCAAAGGTCCAAGCCAAGCATTCCTTGGAGTCGGAGGTCCTGGCAGCTTCTTCTGCCTTGTTACGGAGAGGTTGTAGCTCTTGCGATCTGTAACCATGCCTGCTACACGAAGCCCTAAACTCTAAACTACAGAACCTTGTCTAGGTGCAGTGCAAGGCACAGCGATGATGTCTCGCTGCATCAAGACACCTGCATGGCTGCAGTGGGCTTGAGGTTCCCAACCAAGCCTCCTGAACCGTCAAGGCCACAAACCCTCCAATGCCTGGAAAGAGCTACAAGCCCTCCAAGCCCCGGATTATACTACTAATATTAATACTATATAATAGTAATAATCATAACAATAATACATAATCCCTAAACCCCTACTGTAATCCCTAAACCCCTAAACCCTAAACCCAGGCTTCGTCCTGCAGACTGAAAAGTGCCCGAACAGGTTGCGAGCCAAGGTAGGCGCTTGAATTGGCTCTAGAAACACTTGGGGGAACGATGCCCGCAATTAGGACTGTATCCATAGATAAGGTTTAGGGACTGGGGTTGTATGGCGAAGCTTGCTGTGCGTCCAAGCCCCTCTATGATATAAAGGCTCATTACTCGACATCATAAAAGGACCCTGAATCAATGTAAACCCTACCCCTCATACATAAACCCTAAACCCTATATAAACCCTAAACCCTGGACCGTAGACAGAACCAGTAAGTTTGGGTTCTCGACTGCTTCTGAAAAGAAGTCCCTGGTGAATATTGTTTAAGGATTATGATTTAGGAGTTCAAGGGTTTATAAGCCAAAACCTAGGATTCTAGAGTTTAGGGGTTTAGGGGTTATGATTTAGGAGTCAAGGGCTGCTAAACCTCAACTAGGAGTTCAGGGCTTCGGGTTTTGGAGGCCCCAATCTGCGCCCGGAACCTAAACCAAAATCGAAATCCCTGCACCCTGATCAAGCCTGATGTCTAAGTTCCCCACAAAACCCTTAAGCCCGAAACAGAACAACTTTGAAAGCAACTGACAAAGCCCGCGAAACCCCTTGAAATGCCCAAGAGTCCGGTCCTCCTTAAATTCGCCCGAATTCGTACGCAGAGGCGGGGAAGAGGCGCCAATTTCCGCTTCCGGATAGCTCCAAGACCTCACGGTTTAGGGCTTCAGGGTTTCCTTAACCCTGAACAACCTACCCTTTTAGGGTTCCCTGTTATGATTTCCTTATACAAGCCCTTAAAAAGGTAGGTTCTTCAGGGTTAAGGTTAAGTTTAGGATTCAAGGTTAGTGTTGACGTATCGGGTGCTATAAGGGCTCGTAGACTTTAGACGGGTTTGACGGGGTTTTGTATGGTTGAATCCGAACTTTACGCAGGCGGTTTAGGGTTACGGATCAGTGGGTCTAGAATCAAGCGACTGGGTCATTTGAAATGTGGGATACCCTAAATTACCCTAAACCCTAAACCCTCAATTTTGGGGTCCTTACAGTAATGATCCGACTATTTAAGGTACTATATTAGGGTCCCCTATTTTCGGAAACTCCCATGTGCGTAACTCAACATAACCAAGAGGGTCCATATGCACTACCACTATGGAATTAGGCCCCAAAAGACCATCCCAATAATGGTTTTGGGGGGACCTAATTCCAGAATAGTAGTATATATGGACCCTGCGGGTAACTGCAGCTACTTCCAACCCCATGAATGGGGACCTGTGATTGCGGTTGATGATAAAAATCCTGCATTACCTTAAGGACCCTAAACTATGGGAGTTATGGTATATTCCCTATTATGGGTAATGCAGGATTTATATCATCAACCGTTGTCAGAAGTCAGGATCGAGGCTTCAGTGCTGATTCAGATCCGAGGTTCGCAGCACAGGGTGTGGGTGTGTAGGATTCAGGGTTGAGGATTCCCAGCTTCGTGCTTTGGAGTGTTAGGCTCACTGCTTCTAGGGTAAATTTGGGGTTTGGGGGCTTCTTGTCCGGAGGATTCAGATTTTCAGGCTGCAGGGGCTCAATATTCAGTGTCTGGGGCTTCAGGGTTTCAAGGTTTTGGGCGCCGGACTTGAATGCGGCTTACGTCTGTAGGGCCTCCAAGACAAGGTAAAGGGTTCATGAGCTCAGCTTCTTGCAGGCTTTGCAGATTTCGATAGGGTCTTAAAATAGGGTTTGTGCAGGGTTCTGGGGACGGCTTTTCTGCAATCAACAGGACCGAAGGGGGGCATACAAACGGCACTATGAGGAACTACCACTCCTACACATTCCGAACACTATATACATCATAAGCACACCCTTCCGTCATGCGCAAGCTAGAGTTTGGGGGTGCGTCCATGCACCCAACCCGAACAACAGCAGCTACCCACCTCGTCGTGATACTCCGCCAATGTCGGCCTGTGGCCCACGCCTTGGATTTCGAAGTTTGCATTCCCTTGGCTTAGGGTTCAGAGACTTGTTGTGTTAGGGCTTGGGGATGTGGAGTTCACGGAGTTCAGGGTTCGGGTAGTCGGGAAGGTCACGGCTTACGCTCAGACTGCGATTCGTACTGTTACGGTGATGTAACCAATGTGGCGAGACGCGGTGGTTGACATTGAGGACTGGCGCCAACAATGCTTTTGTTGTGCCTTTTGCTCTTAGTGGTAGAATTTCCACTACAAGTTGCAGAACAATCAGCAGCCGCAGGATCTATTGTAGGGCACCCAGTTTCAGGGTTTGGGGCGTTTCCTTGTCGGGGGGTTTGGGTGCTAGGGGGTCAGGCTTCAGGGTTTGAGGCTTGGCTTTTCCGGGTTGGCTACTAGACTCACTCGACTAGATCCTTCCAGTAGCCTAGCGGTGTACCCTAGCAATCGCTGCGGGTAATGGTTCAGGTCTTCGGGTTTCGAGTTAAGGATTTAGGGTTTCGGGTTCAAGGGACATGGTTTTGATCATCAGAGACGAAAAGCTTCAATTGATGCTGACGGCATCAGCCTTAGAGATTAGCGTGGTATAAACCAACGCGCCGCACCCTCAACCCCCCCTAGATACCTAAACCCTAAACCAGCAACCACGAAACCCTAAAACCTGACTGTATAGACCCGAAAGCTCTACACAATGAAGCGCGGTCGCTTTTGGAAGCACTTGCTATGTTCCTGTCGTCACTGCAAGGCTCAATCTCGCCGAAGGAGCGGCCGTCGACCACACATACGCACATCGGGAGATTTGGGATGTCATTTCCGGGTTTAGTGTTGATGGATTAGGGTTTAGGGTTTAGGGTTTAAGGATTCAAGAAACAGCGAAAATCAATAGTCAGGAGCGGCTTGGCCCCAACATCAAGTCAAAGGGATACCGCAGCAGCAGTCCTCTTTGTACAAACCAACGTCTACTCCCGGCGGCCTCTACTCTTCAGGGTGGCTCTCTTGTGGATCCACCTGGGCGTTTCCGAAAATAGGGAACCCTAATACAGTACCCTGAATAGTAGGATCCTTATTATCAAGGCCCCAAAATAAGGTACCCCTAATTTTCGGAAACTCTAAACCCTAAACCCTTTATAGAACCAACCCTTATAGATCCCTTTAACGAACCATTAAAGGATCCCTTGAAAGGTACCCCTAAGTTCCGGAAACTCCCACCTCGAAACCCAGCCATCTTCGGCGGTTGATGCGTGTGAGCGCTTACGGCCCAGGGCTGAACCGCTTTAGCGGTACCGAGGCGTTGGGATCCCAAAGGCTCCACGGTTTAGGGTTTAGGGTTTAGGGTTTAGGGGGGGCACCTTATTAGGAATTATTACCAATACTATTTTAAGGGTTCCTTACTATATTTACAGTATTATACACCCCAAAACACTGTACCCAAAGGCTCCATGTAGCTTTATCGTAGATACTTTAGCCTTAAAAGGGTCCCCATATAGGTACTTTAAGGTCTAAGTATATACTGTATGGGTACATGGAGCCTCAGGGGATGTCGCATAATGTAGGAACCTGACTAAGAAACCTTGGGCCTGTTATTAGGGTTCCTTGTATGAGTCCTACTATTTCGGGGGTCTTTATTTGGGTTCCTTGTATGAATCCTACTATTTTGGGGGTTATAGGCCCAGGGTTTCTTAATCAGGTTCCTATAGTATCCTCTACCAAATTTCACGATACGTTGGCTTCAGCTAGGTAGCTGGGTGGAATTTCCGACCTCGGTCCTACCTTCCGGCAGGAGAGTCAGTTCTGGTGAGTGCCAGATCCCAAAAAGCCTAGAACACTAACACTAAACCCTAAACCATTAGACCCTAAACCTCTATAGGCCCTATAGAACCCTAAATGTACTAAACCAACCAAAATCTTAAACCCTCAACCCTGAGACCTAAAGGCTCTTCACTGGCATCATGACTCCGTCCACCTCGAAGGCCAAAGCCTCTGGATAGGCATCTATTCATCATCATACATATGTATGTGTATATATATATACACATACATATGTATATGTGTGCATATGTATGTATGTATATATGAATATACGTATATAAGTATATGTGTATATATGTATGTATGTATGTATGTATGTATGTATGTATGTATATATACATATATATATAAAGCCATTCTGCACTGATGTGTTGTGCTTTGTATACGGTAGTTATGAACTGTGTGACAAATATGCTGTGTATGGTCTATTCTTGTACAGCGTATATTGTATATTGTATGCTTTGGTGTCTTGGAGAAAATTACGACGATACACACCGGAGGCTGTGGGATGTAGGCCCTAATGTAGGCGTCGATTGCAACCAACCTACTTTTGTTGGTAGCGTCCTTGTGTTTGCTCACCCCGAGTTCTAGGATCTAGTACTTCTGCAAGGGTCTTGTGTGAGACTCCCAGATACATATAGCGGAGGGAACCAAATGTTCAAACGTATCGCCATTGTCCCAACAACCTACTTTACTGAGACCCTAGAACGCAAGCCCCGAAACACCGTGCCAAACCGTAAACCGCAAGTCAGCCAGGAAACACCCGCCACGGTGATGACCACGATCACCGAAGGAAATGTGAGCATCCTTATGGCCCAATAGTTTGAGAGCTTTGTGGGACTGTGGGCTTGAAGCTCGGCGTTTAGGAGTATACATCGGGTTGTCTAGACCCCGAACTAAATCCCGAAGCCAAACCCCAAACTCCAAACCGTTTCATTGTATGCTCGGCCCATAACTCACCAACTCGGACATGTACTAATTGTCTAGAGGTAGGGTCTCGTGCATACGCGCTGGGATCCAAATTCAAGGTTCGACGAGGACTGAAACTCATACAGGGCTTCAGGGTTTAGGGTTTTAAAGGCTAAGCACTCCCATACATAATCTCAGGTCTGCCTTAGCCCTGAATAACCTGGGTTCTTCGGGGTTAAGGTAAGGCTCAGTCTAAGGGAGCTTCCAGCATCGTGGCCGAGCCGCACCGCGCTCGTCCAGTACATCCGCTGGCCATAGGCGAAGACCTTGCTGTCTGCAGCCTGGGCCGTTGGGGTTTAGGGTTTTGGGTTTAGGGTTTTGGGTTTTCTTTTTTTCGGGTTTAGGGTTTTGGGTTTAGGGTTTAGGGTTTTGGGTGTGGGTTTAGGGTTTAGGGTTTAGGGGAAGTCGAGGGGTTGGAAACTCGGAACCCTAAACCCAAAGTTGGGGTGTTGAGGATACGGTTGACAGGGCTTAGGGTTCGGGTTTAGGGTTCAACGAAGCTTACTAATGAATCTTCAAGATATCGCATCTACACATGTATGAACTACATGCACTTGTGTATACTGTGTACATGAATACAGACAACATACATGTTTACATGCATACATACTTACTTACATACTTTACCACATACATATCTTATATCACGCGCAACAGACAAATCTAGATCCCTCAGTAGTGCGATCACATGCCGCCGGAGCGCCTCAGCAATTGCAACGCGTCTGAGGGCACAGTACGTTCTACTCGAGTTGAGGGTCTTTCACGAACAGCCAACGTCCACCAAGGAGGCACACAGCCCCTCGGCAGTTGCTTTCTGCTCACGCCCCACTCGGCATGCTTGAATCAACTCGCAATCCAACAACACAACTCATGAACATCAACTAAACCCCAAACTCTGAACCCTAAACTCTGCAAGCTAAACCCTACACCCCAAGCCCCAAACCCACGTCCGTCAAGAACCTTTCTGAGCCGTAGATTCAGGTTTGCTTACTGTAAGGCACGCCAGCAGAACATCCCTTGAGGCCCTGGACCACTGCCGAATCACTGCCCTTCGCAGTCCTGTAAGGGCTACTGCAAGGGCTCCTTTAAAAGTTCCTTTGAGGGTTTGTTTAAGCATTCCTTTAAGAACCCCCAAAGACCGCGCAAACGTAAGCACCTCACATTATAAGGGTTTGACCCTCATAGATCTAAACTCTAAACCCGAATCCTTTCGAATCCATTTTAGGGTTTAGGTTTAGGGTTCAGGGCTTAGGGGTTAGGGTTTAGGATGCTTTGCAGGGCCCTTAAACCAAAAGACTTGAAGCAGCCCGCTATGCACTATGCGCACCTCGGGTCTTAACGGATTTTTGCCATGGGTTTCTTATTGGCGGTGTTATACGGTTTGGTCGGGACTTATGTGGCTTTTTTGAGGTTTTGCTTGGGCCGTCGGATTTTGAGGTTGAGAGTTCAGGGCTGGGGTGTAGGGCTTCAGTTTAGTGTTTCCGACTCTTGGGTAGGCTATAACTTACCAGGCGATGAATATTCATTCCAAGGGTAAAAGGCGGGACCCTTAATAAGGACCCCTAGGTATATACCCTTAATATAGCTATTATATACCCATTATATAGCCCAATATAGGGTAGAGGGTCCCTCCTTTTCCCCTGTGATTCATTACAGCCCAATACTCAACACGACACCATGATCAACCATGAGACCATACCACAATGCGATGGCAGTGTACCATGGGCCAAGGAGCTAGCTCCGTGGATGGCGTGTAAAGCCGTATCAGAGGCGCGTGCTTGGGATATGGCAAACCCAACCTAAGTCGTGGATTGAAACTCAAGGTTTCTGAGCCTGTAAGGCACTTCTGTGTCGAACCTTAACTGCCGGACTCTGACTTTAAAAATGGAGCCACAAAGATCTGAAAACCCCAATTCTGCGTGACTGCAGGCCAAGGACTGGCTCGAGAGCTTGACGTAAGCCTACTCTGATGTAAACGGCCTCGTGGTGCTTTAAGGATTTAAACCTTTCAACACGATGGGGCTGAATAGTGTGATGTAAAGATACCTCAGATAGACGTTGATCAAAACCTCACATGCCGTAAGGGGCCTTAATTGATCATATGATAATCATATGACTTCCTTGATGCAGGGATGCTGGCCTCTCTGAGCGCGTTGGCTTCGACACAAACATGGAGGGAGCGAAATAACATATGTTTTAACAGATGCTTCCGCGACTAGGGCGGCTCAGGATTTGAGTGTTAAGGGGTTTCTGTCGCGGGAATTCGCCCAAACGCAACAGTATTGACAGGACAGTTCGTGAAGGGATCGGTCATCGTATCTCGCAACAGTCTGTAAGATCGCAGCACGCTGAACCTTAAAGCTTATAGCCCTGAGCCCAAAAGCTTAGATCCCCGACAGCACGACGCAAGAGAGAGTAGTGTCGCAACGTCCACGGCTTCGGAGCACTGCCCCTCAAAGAAGAAGGCACACCGAAGCTGATTTGTCGGCTCAAGGTTAGGTTCGGGGTATAGGGAAGTCTAAAGAGAACCATCGTGTTCAAATTTGACATCCGCAGCACGTCTTGGCAGCCAGGACCATGTGCGGCTTCATGGCAGTTTCCTCAGCAGGCAAGCACAGCCCTTCGATGGATTGAGACGAGACGGTGCCGCAGCCTCCGGAAGTCCCTCCGGAATCCTTAGAAGAACCTTTAAAGGACCCTAGAGAAGAACCTTTAAAGGACCCTACAGTCCCTAGAGAAGAACTGTTAAAGGTCCCCGCCCTGTGGGATAGAAGCTTGGATTATGGTTTAGCGCTCAAGCATTAAATAGTAGGTGCCGTATTATATTAGGGACCCAAAAAGGGACCATGATTTTTGATAGAACCTTGGATTATGGTTTATGGTTTAGCGCTCAAGTTTTGGGGCTCTGGGTTCAGTGTAATGGGCCCGGCGGAACAAAATATTCATGGAATCCTGGGTCTGCATAATGATTCGTGTGTGGGGTCTTGTAAGCAGGGCTTTGCTGCATGATTGGGCAACAAGGGGGTGTGAATGTGTGTGTGTGTGTGTTGCATATATATATATATACACATGCATATATGAGTGCGTGTAAAAACATATGCGCATGCGTTTATATTTTATGGGTAGTTGTCGAAATTGGAATCTCTTTTCGGGCACATTAAATAGCAGGTGCCGTTTTATATTAGGGACCCAAAAGAGGGACCATCGTTTTGACAATCACCCATATATATTAATATATATATATATATATATAACATAAATCTACGTCTGTAATGTAGGGACTTGTCCAGACCTCTAAAGCATTTCTGATCCACGCGTCCACTTTGGCACATTCCGCCCCGCAGCTCGTCACGTCATCGAGGGTGACCACACTCCTCCCAGTGACGACTCTGACACACTGGCACATGGTAAGCTAAACCCTGAACCCTAAACCGTAACCCAAAACTCCGAGAGATTGAGAGGAAACATGTGCTTTGCATCCGATTTGTGAGACCACGGCGTCCCGCAGGCCCCAGCGCAGTCGCTCGGCAGCGTCGGCGGCTGCATGTCCACTGCCCAGGCACAAATTTCCTGGGGCTTGGAATGCGATCCCGTCCTGGAATGTAAGGCTTGGGGTTCAAGATGACATGGCTGGCCTAAAGCCCAGCTGGTATGACTGTCAACACGAGCCCTCGCCGGTACACCCTATCGACATGACTAAGTGCTCCAAGGCTGTCTTGCGTCTCTTTAGAAAGTTGCCCCTAAGTGGCGAACCGGCGAGACACGCATAGAACCCCGTAGAGCCCGCAGAATCAGAACGGGCCGCTTTTTGAGGTTCCATATGAGTTCAAGGAGGGTAGGACCGCAATGCCATCCCCAATCCTTTTAAGTATAAGCCCTGGACCCGAGAAGCTCAACCCCTAACCCCCAAAACCCGACGCCCTCAACCCTGAACCCGCATAAGGCTGTAGCCAGGTCTCGTCCTCGACACATCCTGACCCGTCACAGCGGAGAACAGGTCCTTGTTTAGGCTTGTGGCGCAGGATGTAGATTGGCGATTATGGGTTTTTAGAACCACTTAAGGGTTCGATAACGATAAGAATTCTACAGCAGATCTATACACGGATGTATGTGATTTAGGGCCTAGGGTTTCGGCTTAAGGGTTAAGTCTACGGTTCAGGGCTTGGGGTTCACGGTCTAGCCTTAGTGCGCAAGAGTTGGATAGAAGCTTATAAGTTTCCTAAACCCTATAACCCTAAACCCTTACATCTTAGACCCAGTTGTAGGATGCAAGCCGTGGGATTTGCGGTATATTTTGGCTTGTAGTTCAAACAAAGCAGGCTTGAAATTGCGCAGGCTTGAATCCTAAGCCCATGCAGACATACCTACGTACTGACAAACCTAAATACGCATGAATACATGCAGACGCAGATAAATACAGACATACATACACAGACACATAAACAGATCGACATACAGAAGACGGACTGCCAGACAAACAGACCGACGGACGGACAGACAGGCAGGAAGACAGTCAGACCGACAGACAAAAAGGCAGGCAGGCAGACCGGCGGACTAATGGACAGATGCACAGACATACCTACATACAGACTTACCTCAACGCACATACCTGCATGCAGACCTGCCTACATCTACATTCATACATGCATGGGCAAGCAGCCAGGCGGACAGGCAGGCAAACAGACAGACAGACCGACGGACCGACGGACAGTGGACAGACGGACAGACGGACAGACGGACAGACGGACAGACAGACACACCCCTCTACCCCATGAAGTTGATTTTCCCAATGCCCAGAGTCGAAGAAAGAGATGGCAGCCTGCAGCATGCGCTCTGCCACCGCAGTTGTCCAGTTGAAGCCTGGTGCTGGGGGCTGCATGTAGTAGTAGTAGTAGTAGTAGTAGTAGTAGTAGTAGTAGTAGTAGTAGCATCGGGTGTGGGACGAGGCCACCTATCAGAATGCATTAAAGACCAAAGCACCGCCCTCTGAAGAGAGACAAACAAACAAAACTTCAGCCTAAACTCCCAACCGCGAATCTGCACACCCTACCTTAACCCCGAAGAGCCTACATTTCTAAGGACTTATATAAAGAAACCACAATAAAGAACCCTAAAAAGAATAGGCTATTCAGGGTTAAGGTAACCGCTACTGTAACCCAAAACCCTCATCATAAAATCCAAGCCGCTTGATGGTCTCCAAGGGTTTCCCCCTGCGCGTGAGAGCCCCATCGCGCCAGTGAAGCGGCCCGGAGAGGTTCCAGGAAGCCTTTCAGCTGGGTTCAGGGTTAAGGGTTTATGGTTTAGGGGTTTAGGATTTAGGGGTTTAGGGGAACAGGGTTTAGGTTTTATGGTTTATGGTCTAGGGTTACAACAGGGTTTGGGGATTCTAGGGTTGAATCAGGGTTTAGGGCGTAGGGATTGGGGTTTAAGGTTTAGGGCTCAGGGTTTAGGGAGTTTGGTTCAGGGTTCGGGGACTCGGGTTCAGGGATTCTAGCAATTTACAATGGCTTTTTAGACGGTGCTTCCAGGGATGAATGGGATTTCTTATCCGGCTTTGACAAACGGGCTTCCATAGGGGCTTGAAGGAGTGTTATAGACTGCTTGCGGTTGCTCTAGGGTTTCATGCCTTTGTTGAGCTTGTTATAGGGTTTTGCGGTGCTTACAGGGTTTATGGCGGGGTTTCGTGAACAAGAATGCTAACAAGCTTTAAAAGCCATGGTACAGGTTCCGGAAAGTCTTCAGGGCTGTAAGGCTTAATCTAGAATTTTTTGGGGGGAAGGGCTTATAGGATTCGTTTTCAAGGGAAAAGGGTGCAGCGTGTAGGGCTCCAGGGGTCAGGGTTAAAGGGCTTAGGGTCTAGGGCTTGATTATGGATGTGAGGGGTTAAATACGGTGTTACAAGGGTAACGGTTTCTTGGAATGTGTATCGACAAGTCTAAGGTGCTGAACAAGCTGTTTCGTAAGCGTTAGTAAGAGTCTTTCCACTTGCTCAAATGATTCGGAGGATTGGACAGGCCTTGAGCTTTGTAGATTTGAAGTCCGGCGAGGGATACAAAGGGAGTATAGAGGGCTGCGAAATTGATGATAACATCCCCTGACGGTCCTGACATAAGTGGTGTAATATGATGTACTATTATGAGAATCTCGTGTGGAGAGGCTGGGAAGTTAAAAAGAATTAATTCTTCATTTTTTCATCATTTTGGTCATCATTGTTTCATCATTTCTGCCTTCGTTTGGTCCATGATTTCCTGGGAAGCCCATAGATTTCTAGGGGTTCTAGGGAATTCCTAGGAATCCTAAGCAAAATCCACCAAAACGAAGAACAAATTATGAAAAAATGAAGATTTCTGGTGGGGTTCTTGGCCCAGAGCCCCAGGGTGCAGTTTTTAGGAATGCTTCAAGGAATCTTCATTTTTCATCATTTTTTAAACATTTTTTCATAAGTTTTTTCTTCATTTTGGCCTTCGTTTGGTCCATCCCTTCCTAGGAAGCGCAGCGATTTCTAGGTATTCTAGGGAATTCCTAGGAATCCTAAGCAAAATCTACCAAACCGAAGAAAAAATTATAAACAAATGAAGATTTCTGGTGGGGTTCTTGGCCCAGAGCCCCAGGGTGCAGTTTTTAGGAATGCTTCAAGGAATCTTCATTTTTCCATCATTTGTTCATCATTTTTTCTTCATTTTGGCCTTCGTTTGGTCCTACGCAAAATCCACCAAAACGAAGAAAAAATTATGAAAAAATGAAGATTTCTGGTGGGGTTCTTGGCCCAGAGCCCCAGGGTGCAGTTTTTAGGAATGCTTCAAGGAATCTTCATTTTTCCATCATTTGTTCATCATTTTTTCTTCATTTTGGCCTTCGTTTGGTCCTACGCAAAATCCACCAAAACGAAGAAAAAATTATGAAAAAATGAAGATTTCTGGTGGGGTTCTTGGCCCAGAGCCCCAGGGTGCAGTTTTTTAGGAATGCTTCAAGGAATCTTCATTTTTTCATCATTTTTTCTTCATTTTGGCCTTCGTTTGGTCCATCACTTCCTAGGAAGCGTAGAGATTTCTAGGGATTCTAGGGAATTCCTAGGAATCCTAAGGAAAATCCACCAAAACGAAAAAAAATATGAAAAAATGAAGATTTCTGGTGAGGTTCTTGGCCCAGAGCCCCAGGGTGCAGTTTTTAGGAATGCTTCAAGGAATCTTCATTTTTCCATCATTTTTTCATCATCTTTTCATCATTTTTTCTTCATTTTGGCGTTCGTTTGGTCCATCCCTTCCTAGGAAGCGCAGAGATTCCCAGGGATTCTAACGAATTCCTAGGAATCCTAAGCAAAATCCACAAAACGAAGAAAAAATGATGAACAAATTAAGATTTCTGGTGGGGTTCTTGGCCCAGAGCCCCAGGGTGCAGTTTTTAGGAATGCTTCAAGGAATCTTCATTTTTTCATCATTTTGTCAACATTTTTTCATCATTTTTTCTTCATTTTGGCCTTCGTTTCGTCCATCCCTTCCTAGGAAGCGTAGAGATTTCTAGGGATTCTAAGGAATTCCTAGGAATCCTAAGCAAAATCCACCAAAACGAAGAAAAAATGATGAACAAATTAAGATTTCTGGTGGGGTTCTCATTTTCCATCATTTTTTCATAATTTCTTCTTCATTTTGGCCTTCGTTTGGTCCATCCTTTCCTAGGAAGCGCAGAGATTTTTAGAGAGAAAAAACGAAGGCTGCCGCCAAAAATTATGAAACCAACGAAGAAACAAACGAAGAATAAATGATGACCGAAATGAAGAAAAAATGAAGAATTAATGAATCAAGGAAACCCAGTATGTAGCCGGGCAAGAATCTCATAAATGTACTACTTCTAACCATTGACCTGATTGATTATCGAGCCCTCCTTTGTCATCCTAAACCCTGAAACCCTAAACCCGAAACTCGGGGCTGAAACACTGAGTGCTGAGGAAATCGGGGCTTGAAGCCACTACTGTAAGAGTGACAAAATCCCCGGCAGGTATGAGGAGTCAAAGAGCATTGAGCCAACACCAGTGGAGCCTCAATGATTCGAATGGGTGCTTTTTTGGAGGAGGAGTGTACTGCGCTAATTACGTATATGTAACTTTGATAAGGGGCCCTCATGATTGAGAGCTCTGCCATAGAGGGAAGTCTGGCACGCTGGCCAGACAAACTGCCCAAAGTCGGCGACCCCACCAAACCCTCAACCCTTAGCCCTAAACCCTAAACCCTTAACCCTAAACTCTAAACCCTAAACCCTCAACCCTAAGCCCTAAACCCTAAACCCTTGACCCTAAACTCTAAACCCTACACCCTCAACCCTAAGCCCTAAACACTAAGCCCTAACCCTGAACCCTCAACCCTAAGCCCTAAGCTGCCCAGGCCCAGGCACATGATCACAAAGACTGAAGCTGATGGGCGTCAGCTGGTGACCTGCTGGGTGGCTTATGGCGTCACATGGGGGTTTCCGAAAATTAGGGGTACCATATTTTGGGGTTCTTATAACAAGGATCCTACTATTTGGGGTACTATATTAGGGTCCCCTATTTTCGGAAACCCCCACATCTTGGATGTGGGAGTACATATGGACCCTCTGGGTTAGGATTCTGATGTTCGGAGCCGGGGCGGGTTTGCGCGGCCTCGGGTTTGGGGTTTAGGGTCCGCAAGGTGCCTTTACAGCTCAGACACGCAGCCTCGGGGGTTTGCAGGCAACGAGAAATTGAGTTAGGCTTCATGTCCTTGTCAAGGCGAGGCACAAGACACAACAAATACTCCGAACCCTGCAATCCTGAGCGTAGACCCCCTTAAGTAATGCCCTAGAGTCCCGGAGGAAACCAGACAAGACTGTACTCCTAGCCCATACACTGGCCAGAAACCCAAGATACCTTCAAAGGGCTGCTGCAACGGCTGCAGTGGCAGCAAGAAAGCCGATGCCCATGTCAGCGCTAGCACACCCAAGCCTCGACAAAGGATGCTTCCGGCTCTTCAGATAAGGGTCGAATGCTTCGTGTTCGCGGTTCAAGGTTTAGGAGTTCGGAGGCAGCTTGACTCAAAATAGGTTTAAAGTTTAGGGCTTAGGGCCAGTGTAGGCTTGAGGATTCAAGGTTAAGGGGCAGGGTTACGGCTGCTTCTCTACACCTCCACCAAAAAAATAAGGATACATCGCCGCAACATCCATTACAATAGGAGTCGGTAACCTCATACTTTGAACCCAGAACCCTGCCCCTGAAACCTTACCCAAATAAACAAAGGGGCCTAAAATAATTTACCTAACTAACTTGGGGGTTCCTCATTATATTCATAGTATAATGCGCACCAAAGCCCTATTCTAAGTTTTAAGGCCCCTATATTCCCAAGACCCTCAACTGCGAATCCGACGTTCCGGAGTCTTGCCGCATCCATCTCTTTATGACTGCTACTGCTAGGATGTTTATGACTAGACTATTGCAGGCGCCTTTCTTGGCAGTAGAAGTATTTCGATGGTTATGATTGTTTTTTAAATACTATTTCTCAAGTCGACCGATGATGTCAGCTGTTGCTTGAGGTTTGGGGTTTTGATCTTCGGAACTCTCTTCGCAATCCCGGAACCCTAACCCCCAGAAAATCTGAAGTCGGATGCCAAAAACCCTCAATGTAGGAACCTGATTAAGAAACCTTGGGCATTTATTAGGGTTCCTTATATGAACCCTACTATTTTGGGGGTATAGGCCCAGGGTTTCTTAACCAGGTTCCTACATTACCCTCAACCCGAAGATGACCCTAGGACCAAATTGATCCAAACCTAGATCCTGAACCCTAAACCCTAACCCCCGAAGTGCACTTGCTGGTTTAAATGTGAAGTCCCAGGCACATGCCGGAAAACCACAGCAGAATCCGACGGGTTGCTTTCGCGTCACCTGCTTTCGAGGGACTCCTCATGAGGGATCCTGGGTTTAGGGCTTGAGGATTTCCCCCTTGCAAGGCCAAACGTTTTCAAAGTATGTAGGGGCTTCGGGTTTGGGGTTTAGGGACGACGCTGTTCTAGGGTGTGCATTGGGCTTAGGGTGTAGACTCAGCTTGGACTCTTTGGCTCGGCTCGGATATTGCAAGGCTTGGTAAATGCACACAGCTTCTGGCTATTACGGCTGGAAGTGGAGCAATCAGGGTATAACTTGGGGCTGAGTGTTTAGGGTGAAACCCCAATTCGAACCTGCTTCCTAAGTCGCCTGATCACCCAAGGATTTTGTGCGTGATGTAGTCGCTTATTGACTGCAAAGAGGCGGTAAGAGTACCAGACCCCAAACACCCTTATCCTATCCACGTCGGCTTGCCAAAACCTGGGACAGCTCGGAACAAGTGTGCTTGAGCTGACAAACATTCCCCGCCAATGGCTGCAAACATCATCAGGCACCTGAAGTGCCCAAGCCCGCTTACTTACTGGTTTGCTCACCGACCTCCGACCTGCTGATTCTCTGACTGATGAAATCTTGGCTTATCTACTTGCATGCTTACCGACCTATGCGCTTGTTGAGTGACCCTGTCTGGTTCTGGGCAAGTGACAAGGCCCGCCCAGCCGAAGGCAATGCAATGCAGCAAAGGGGTTCCCAAGCAAAGGACCGCGAAGGACAGTTGCCCGAGCCTTGCTTCTTCCCGGCTTTCGGTGAGGGTTTCTGGGTTGTTTCAGGTGCGTCGGTTTTCGCGGTTTAGGGTTTAGGAAGTGTTTCAGGGCTTGGGTCCTCAGGATTTGCATCCGTCTTCTTCTGTTGCGGCACCAACAACAATGGCAGGGCGGTATCTCACACAGCCTTGTGTGACCAGCATGTGCTGGTGCAAACAACAGGAAATAAATGTTCATTGTCATCGTTGCAAAATCAATCAAAGCTGCCAATGCTAGGACATCAAAACACACGAGTTACCCTTGGCTCTGAACCTCGGAGCTAAACCCTAAACACTAAACCTTAAATCCTCATAAACCCCAAAACCGAAGCTCAGGGCTGCTGTTGCAGCATTCCTATCCGCTTCGAAGGGCACATGTCAGCTCCCGGAGCGAGATATTGAAACGCCGGGCTCAGGGATGTTATCTCAGGGTTTAGGGCTTAGGCCTTGTGGCTGAGGGTTTATGGTTTAGGCTTTAGGGCTGAGGGTTTAGGGGTTAGGGCCCCAGTAGAAGTATACTGTTATATACACCAAAACCCTATTCTGACTATTGAAATTTGTTGAGTTAAGTGTTTTTTCAGGCCCTTATGATACACCCACCTCTTCGACCCAAGCCTAAAGTTTCCAAATCTGCTACTGGAATGTTTAGACCTGCAGTTTCAGACAGCCTGAAACCTTAACCCTCAAAACTTAAACCCTGGACAATAAACTGAACCTGTTCCCCAATGCCATGCCACTTACCTTTGGTTAGTAGGGAATGGAGGATTGGGGTACAATTTTGTCTTCTATTTCTGCCATTCTTCCATTCCCTACGAACCAAATAGAAGCCCAAGGAGATACTGCTGATGGACAAAATCCTGCATGACCCATTATAATGGATTCATACCATAGTTCCCATAGTTTAGAGCCCTTAGGGTCATGCAGGATTTTGTCCATCAACAGTATCAAACCCGGGCCTGCCCTTCTCAAGCTCCACCCCCCAACTTTCTGAACATGACATTTTCGAACCTTCCGGGCTGAATACTAAACCTCAACCTTGGGTACTGCCCCCATACAGTAACAGTCTATAATAGGGCTACTATTAGGGGCCCTATATATCTATATTATGAACAATATCCAACTGTTACTGAGATTGGGCAGTACCCAACCTCAACCCACAACCCTCAAAAAACTAGAAGACAATTGGCCCGAAAGCATCATCAGCGAAGAGTGTGGGGCTATGTGATAGATCCAGTGTATAGGATCGTAAAGTCACAGAATCAAGAGTCATAGAGTCCATGAGTCATGAGTCATAAAGTCATAGAGTTGCAGTGACATAGCGTCATAGAGTCGTAGTGAGATAGAGTCAGTGTATAGGATCGTAAAGTCACAGAATCAAGAGTCATAGAGTCCATGGGTCATGAGTCATAAAGTCATAGAGTTGTAGTGAGATAGAGTCACGGAGTCGTGGAGTCATCTTTGTACCATACACTTGACTCGATGTAGTTCACTCTATGCCCTGTGTGTGGGAACGCTTAATCAAGATCCGCCTAGCGTGAGGGCTCAGAGCCTGACTCAACAGGTCAAGTGGCAACTTGTCAGAGGGATTGGCAAATGCATAATATATGGATACTATACATATAAATATATATATATATATATATATATATATATATATATATATGGAAATGTGCCTGGCCAAGAACTGGCCACTCGTCCTTGGCATTCCTGCCTCTCAAGTTATGAAGGGTGGAACGCCTCACATCGTCCTCACTGTACCAGCGGAAACACCAGCTGCGGAAAATGGCGTTATTGCAAGAAGCTTCACTGACTTCACAATAATTAATAGAGCTGCGAATGAGGACAGAGTCACAGGTGACTGACTGGTCTCTGATCAGCCATGGCACATCTTAAAATCTTCCTGAAGACTTGGCTTTTTTTACACACACGCACATTCTTCTCGTGGCGGGTCGTTGCTTGCTTGCTCTTTCGCAAGACAGCGTCGAAGCAAGCAAGCAACGTCCCAAAGACCGGCATCGGAGAGGCGGCCTGAGGAGGTGCCGGGAGAGGTCATCCCAGGGATTACGGTGGTCCGGAGCCTCGTGAAAATGGCTGATTGTAGTTGCAAAGGTTCGTCGGGAGCCCCGAGCCTCCATAGCACGCATTATACCAAGCCAGGGTATAGGGGTATAGTATCATGGAAGAAGAAACATAGCGGCAGCTGACAAACATCCCCAAACGGAAGCCGCAACACTGGTCTCTGAAAGGAGTCGGGAATTAGGGTTTCGCTCTTCATCTCAAACCACAACAGGCCAGCGTATGTTACTTAGCCGATTCAACAGACTCCAGGGGAACGCCAGGGGCTTATGGGTCCTTAGGCCTAGTAGTAGGACTAATGCAGGGATCATGGTGGTCCAGAGCCTCCTCCAGAAAGATTGATTCTAGCTGCAGACATTCATCGAGAGCCCCAGGCTTCGGTGACACCCTGTGTATCAACCCAAGGTATACTATCTCAGAAGAAGAAACCCGGCGGCATCTGGCAAACATTCCCAAGCGGCAGTCACAACACGGGTCTCTCAAAGGATGATTGGGGATTTAAGATCTATCCTATACCACAAACGGGTCCACCTCGCTGAGCTGCTGCGCGATCCGTGGCGCCGGGATTCCAGCAGCGAAAGGCAGTGCAGTCATTAGGGATTTGGAAAGACACCGTTCCGAAGTGAAACACCTTACTTCACCAGGAAACCCGCCAGATGCCGCAAAGTATTTAACGTGCCACGCAATCGAGGAGCTCCTGCGTCTCGATGAGCCTTTGTCTGCTCACAGGACGTCGCGGCCAGGAGGAGAACACCGAGGCATTGGGAATCACTACGCTTCCGCCGCACCAATGTACCAATGCGAGCACTTGAAGTTGCCGTTGACGGTTCGCCCATCATAGTTCTCGCTCGGCAGCCTTCGATTGTCAATCGGCCTGAGACGCCCACGGTACCTCACAACTTCATGGTGCACTCCTGCTCCGTTGACGGATCCATGTGCTTCATAAATGCACGCTTCGTGCAATGCGTTGTCTCTTTAGCACACAACACACACACACACACATACACACATACAACTGGTTCGTGGGAGTTCGCAAGATCAAGTGAGACCACAGAAGCCTTCGATTTGACTTCGATCTATGCAGAACAACAGACCTTACACTGCATCACGAAGCATTTCGGAGTCGGGTTGGGGGTGGAGAGCCAGCGCGGGAGGAACCTGGACCTAGACCGGATTACTCTTCCCAGGCGACCCTCCCCGGCCTTCGTCGTCAGCATCGGAGAGGTGGCCTGGTGAGGTGCTGGGAGAGGTCATACACGAGTTACGGCGGTCCGGAGCCTTGTGAAAATGGCTGGTTGTAGTTGCAAAGGTTCATCGGGAGCCCCGAGCCTCCATAGCACGCACTGTACCAACCCAGGGTATAGTATCATGGAAGAAGAAACATAGCGGCAGCTGACAAACATCCCCAAACGGAAGTCGCAACACTGGTCTCTGAAAGGAGTCGGGAATTAGGGTTTCGCTCTTCATCTCAAACCACAACAGGCCAGCGTATGTTACTTAGCCGATTCAACAGACTCCAGGGGAACGCCAGGGGCTTATGGGTCCTTAGGCCTAGTAGTAGGACTAATGCAGGGATCATGGTGGTCCAGAGCCTCCTCCAGAAAGATTGATTCTAGCTGCAGACATTCATCGAGAGCCCCAGGCTTCGGTGACACCCTGTGTATCAACCCAAGGTATACTATCTCAGAAGAAGAAACCCGGCGGCATCTGGCAAACATTCCCAAGCGGCAGTCACAACACGGGTCTCTCAAAGGATGATTGGGGATTTAAGATCTATCCTATACCACAAACGGGTCCACCTCGCTGAGCTGCTGCGCGATCCGTGGCGCCGGGATTCCAGCAGCGAAAGGCAGTGCAGTCATTAGGGATTTGGTAAAAACACCGTTCCGAAGTGAAACACCCTACTTCACTAGGAAACCCGCCAGATGCCGCAAAGTATTTAACGCGCCAAGCAATCGAGGAGCTCCCGCGTCTCGACGGTGGCCAATCCCTGTGGAGACTTGCAGACGGTGCCACCCCTTGTGCTAGCGGCGCTCCACAGGAACCATCATCCGCGCCATCGCGGCTGTCATCATGCTGATACCACCAGAGCAGGTCCAAGCCTCCAAGCGGCCACATTCTGTGGCGAGGCAGCCAAGATGACTGCAGGGCAGAACGTCAAGAGCCAGCTTCTCGTTTGGCCAGCACGACGGACTCGCGGGTTGGACAAGCCGCGCATTTGGAGTAGTGCTGCCTAGGCGAACACAACGGACTCGCAGGTTGCTTGCACAGGCCGCAGGCACCGTCCCGCCAAGACAAGCCGCGCATTTGGAGTGGTGCTGGCTAAGCTCGTCTGAAGGGTTGCAAAGTGTGCCATCTCAATGGCGACTTCTCAAGAGGAAGAACGGATCATTCAAGAATCCAAACAGTAGCAGTGGGCAACGAAGCTAAACCGGGACACCGGGTTGAGCAGAACCCCGAAGACCTTTCGGCCACACAACGGAAATTCTGAACTTGAACCAACCAAGCCCAGCAGTCCGCAGTGGGAAACTCAGGAAATGAAGAGGTTTCTGTTAGACCGACCTTCCCAGCCTCGACGAATCCAAAGCGACCGGGCAGTGCAGGCAACCTCAGGAGCAGGGTTGCCCCGCCCAAGCAGCCGCACTTTCGCAAGACAGCGTCATTCTGCCACGAGCAGAAGAAACAACAAACAAGCGATTTTCTTCTCGTGGCGGCGTCGTTGTTGCTTGCTTGCTCTTTCGCAAGACAGCGTCGAAGCAAGCAAGCAACGGTGGAAGCTAGCCAGAGCAAAGAATTCACAGCCCGCACGGCTCACCGTGGAGTCAAGGGCCGCGCCACCCAGTCGCCCCAGCTCACGACTTGGTCGTTGTCAAGAACGGCAGCAAAACCAAGAGCGGAGGCTGCGAT